GGGACCCCCAGCTCGAGGCCAGCCCCCCTCTGAGTGGGAGGAACTGGGAAGGAGCTCCTTAGGGCTGTAAGATAAAAGCGGATATGACCTGCCCCGCAGGGGGCGAAACTCGCCAGGGCCGCGTCCCGCATCTGCCAAAATCGCGGTGCCGGTGCAGAGCGCGAGGACCTGCCGTGGCTGGGGTGCCTCTGACTGGGCGGGAGAGGACTCTGGTCTGGACCAGGTGGCTCGACTGCCCCGCACAGCGCGGATTCAGCACCGCGGGGCGGACAGCGCCTCGCCCGCACCGCTGCCGGAGCCCGCATCCAGCAAAAGCCGCCCCTGCCCACCCATCGCAATCCCCGCCGCTTCCGGCCTTACGCTGCATGGTGGCTCCAGCCTCCGGTGGGGTCTCCTGCCCTCGGCGCTGGCCGGCCCGGCGCAGCCCCGGCGCCCACCCCCCGCTCGCTCAGGCCGGCTCTGGGGAGCCTGGCGGGCTCAGCCTCCTCCCCTCCCTCCCACTCCGTCCCCTCCCACCTCTTCCTCCCAGCCCCTGCGGCCAACCCCTCCCAGGAACTGTCAGAAAATGAATAAATAAGTGGGAGACAGGAGACCCCACAGCCTGGATGTAACCCTCTTTCCCGCCTGCTCGGTTCCTCCCACTCCCCACCACCCCAGAGCCTCCCTCCCTTCACGGAGCCCATGGAGAATCGCCCAGGTTCCTGAGAGCCAGGGCTCGGGGAGCAAGAGCGGGGCCAGCGGGAAATTGGGGGCCCAGGAGAAACGGTCCTTCCCTACAGACACGCCCTGACCATCAGCTGAGACGGCAAACGGAGCAGGTGCGGGTTGAGACTCGACCAACGACCAACGCGTGCTGTACGGTTGGGGTCCAGCTCGACCCTGCACCCTGCATCTGACTCTGCTTCCCGGTCCTCTTGGGGGACTTCCCTGCCTCGTGGTCACTGGCCCCGGGATTGCTCCTTGCACTCCCTCCCGCTCAGGGGCCGGCTCAGGTATGCAGAGGGTCTCCTAAGCCCACCGCGGACCTCCGAGGGCTTCTCGGCCTGAGGAGCGAAGCGCCACGAACACAAGCGGCAATACAGAGCCAGGGGCCCGGACACCAAGTCGCGCTGGGGCAGCTGCGAGCGGACGTGCGGGGACCCTGGCACCCACTCCCACCCAGGTCCCTGGCTGCCGAGGATCTCCGGGTCTCCCCGGTGCGGCCGCTCAGCCAGGACACCCACCTCGGCGCAGGTCAGCCCTCCGCGCCAGCAGCGCCAGCAGCAGGCCGCCGCCCGCCGACTCACGAGCCGGGCCCAGTTCCCCGCGCGCCTCCATGGGTCCCGCCGCCTAGCGACACCGCTCCCCCGGCCCGAACTTTCTCCGGGCCTGGCGAGGCCACGGCCGCAGTGGTCCTGAGCAGGCGTCCAAGCGACTCCCCGCGCAGCCGGGCGATGCGCCCGCGGGCCGCCCTGGGGCCCCAGCCACGGGCCGCGCGGAGGGCGGAGCTGCTGGGGGCGGAGCCGTGCACGGGGCGGGGCCGGGGCCGCGGAGACGTGTCCCGGGCGACCGCGGGATCTGCCCGCCTTTGCGCCGGGACCTGCAGTGCTCGAACGCTTCCCCCAATGCCCGGCCCGAGGGCGGGGACCGGCAGGGGAGGACCCAGGTAAGGGTTTCCCATAGGCCTTGACCCGGCCAAAGCTTCCTACCCTAGCGCTTTTTGCCGGCTCTGCCTGGGCTTCTGCGCGGGCCAAGAGGGCTGGGAATTCCTGGTATGTGTGGTGGTGGGGGTCTGGGGGGGTGTCAGGGTCAAGAGGGAGCCGGGACCTCTCGCTGCTAAAATTTAGTTTCCCGAGCCTTAGTGACAGGTGGCTGGAACACAAACGGAAACCCAGAAAGGGAGAGTGTGGTGCTGAGGGCTTCATATGGAACCACAGGAACCAGAACGATCGCAGACCCCAACTCGCTCCTGAGTCCCACTCCTGGAACTGCGCCCAGAGTGGGCACAGGAAGGGGCTATTCCTAGGAGAAGCAAGCCCAGGCCCAGGTGGGAGGAGCCGTGCTGGGGAAGCCCCAGGATGTGCCCACACTCCCCTGAACCCCCAGCCTCTGACTCACACCAAATATGATCCTTTCAGCCGATTCCCAAGCATCCTGCTCCCAGTCCACACAGGTGAGCCAGACAGGCAACACCCTGTCCTTGTAGGTAGACTGATGCATGCGCCTCTGTTCAGAGGGACCAAAGTGCCCAGCAATAGACCAGCCCCAGCTCTGGGCAGTTCGCCAGCTGAACACAATGGAGAGGACCCTGCAGCTGGATCGAGCAGGGGTGGCCACAGCAGGGCACCCAGACAGGAGGAAGCATTAGGGCCCTAGCACGTTGATGCCGCCCTCCAAAGCCCTCTACTTGGGGCCGACGGTAATACCTCGACCGAGCTGCTTCTGGCTTCCAGCTGTCAGCTTTATGGGCCCAGGCTCAGAGGGAAGAGGGTAGGAAAACCACAGCCCCTCCCTCAGCACCCACTCGAGCAAAGCCCACGGCGCCAGCTCTCTGCTCTTTTACTTTGCACTACACTTGTCCCAGAAAGGACAGGGCGAGAGCACATGAGCATGACACCGGGTAGGTGCCAGCTGCGCTGGGTGTGGGCTGTTGATCGCCAGCTGCTGCAGAGGCAGGCAGGGACCACGTGTGGCTGGCTGGACTGGGGAAGGGGCGGGCGGCCAGTCGAGGAGGCGGGGGCTCCATGCCGTTGGGCATCTGGCCAGTCTTCCAACAATGGTTCCATTATTTCCCAACGTCCGTTGTAATGGAATGGCCCTTGGGGAGGGCAGTTCAAGCAGGAGAACTCGCATGGGGACCCTGCTTTGGGGTCCAGAGGACTAGGCTGTGCTGTAAGGCAGCTGAGAGCAATCGGTCTCTGGAGGAACTTGGTGCCCCTTACTCTACCACATCTGCAAAGCCCCGTCTGCTCTGGGGCCTCTGCCTCAACCACAGCTGAGCACCATCTCAGGCCAGCCCAGGCCCTCCCTGCCACCTGGGAACTGTGGACTCAGCTCCCTTCTGTTCTGTTCCTAGCTCAGCCTCCTGCCCACAGATTTCTGGCCACTCCACCTGTGCTGCACCCCTTTCCTCACATTGGGTCCCTCTGCCCCCCTTTCCCACCCTTGTGGTTTCTGTCCTGGGGTCCTTCTGACCGAGACAGAGGCCTTCAGGCTCTTACCCTGAGTCCCTCTGGAGGTGCAGCCAGTGGTGCCCACAGGGGCCCCAGGCCTCTCTCCTTGGTGCTGGAGCTCGGCTTCCAGCAGCATTGCGATGCAAGACGGGCCAAGAGGCGGGACTGGTGCTGCTCCCCACTCTGTATCCCTTGGGAGGTCTGGGTTCCACAGGTCCTTGGTGCCTGGGAGCTGCAGCTGGCGGGAGACCCCGCAAGCCACTGGACCTGGCGCTGTCCGCGGTGCTGAAGGAGCCAAGGGCCTCTCGCCCCGCCTGCTGCCCGCCCACCACCCTGACCCCTTCCCCACTCCACCCTCCGCCCCGCCCCCATCCTCAGGGCCTGGGTGGCTGGTCTAGCGCACCTCCCTCCCGCACCGGTTTTGACTGGACTAGGGCAGCCCCTGCCCTCACCCTCAGCCCCAGGGTAGCCACCTTCCACCTTCCATTCAGCTCCAGACTCCTTCCAGAGTCGCAGCAAGCGGGTTTTTGAAGTGGGGGCTGAAAACCGCCCACCCTGCCCTTGCCATCCTGAGGTGGACTCTGGCCTGATGGCCTCCAGCCAAGGCCTCCCCTGGGCTCTCTCCTGCAGGCCTGGGAGAACTTCCTAAGCTCAAACTCCTGAACCCCAACTCTCAAATTCTGGGCAGATCTCAGCCCCACCCTGCCCCAGGAGGAAGGGCACCTGCAGGGGTCCAGGGAGAAGCAAAGGTCCCAGGCACTGAAGGTGAGTCTGGGCCAAACCGGCTGGCACCCGCCAGGACTGCCTGCACCTCTGGGTGGGAGTGTCCTGGGCCAACCTGCATCAAGTTACCTGCCAGCTCTGCACAGCCTGGCTGGGAAGTGAATCTGTAGCCCACAGGTCTCCATGGAGAGCCACAGGCCCTGGCAACTGGAGACCTGCCCAAGGCTGCAGGAGAGCGGGGGAGCGGGGGAGCGGGGAGGGGGTGAGACAGTAAAGATAAAACCAGCTCAGGACAGCAAATAAGGTGTCAAAGGGCAAACCCCATGTTTGAGGTGCCCTGCAAACACACAGGCTGACCTTGAAGCTCTACGACAGTGGTACTCAACCTTCTTAATGCCGTGACCCTTTAATAGTTTCCCACAGGTTGAGAACCGCTGCTCTAGGACAAAAGCTGGACATTCCTACCTTGGGCAAGAGAGGGACACTCAAGGAAAACGTCCAGTAAACACTGAGAGCAGAGGGTGGGGGACTGGCTGCTGGGGCAGGCTGGGCCCTGAACTGGCTGCCTCAGCACGGTTTGAGATGGTCTCATTCCTACAGGAAGCTGTCGTGCACAGCTACGCACAATCAAGGGGATCACCCTGCAGCAGTGTCCAGATCCGCTCCAGGGAAATTACCTATGACCAATATTCTATCTGATCCTTGGGCTATCTTCCAAAAAGCCTGTGGTTTGATGTAAGAAATTCTAGTCCAGACATGGTGGCTCACTCACCTGCAATCCCAGCACTCTGGGAGGCCAAGACAGGTGGATTGCTTGAGCTCAGGAGTTTGGACCAGCCTGAGCCAGAGTGAGACCCTGTCTCTAAAAAAAAAATAGCCAGGCTCCCCAGGAGGCTGAGGCAAGAGAATCACTTCAGCCCAAAAGTTTGAGGCTTCTATGAGCTATGATGCCATGGCACTCTACTGAGGGTGACAAATTGGCACTCTGTCTCAAAAAAAAAAAAATTTCTAGAATTTCAGCTGTCTAGTCTTTAAGCTCTAGAAAGGAAATCCGCCCAGTCTGTACCCTCCCTCTCCCACCCTAACTCATTAGTGAAGCTGGTTTGCATTTCAGAAGAATTACAATTTTTTTCAAATGTCAGGTTTCTTTATTCTTAAAATGTGCACAATACAAAATGTTCAATTTCCTTGAAGGTAAGAAATTTCAGACATTTCCATGTCAATTAGCTTCTTTTTAATCAGAATCCTTCCATTAAAAATAAATAAACATTTAAATTACTGAACTATTTTCATTAGTCTCAATACCTGTTAAAATACTTAAAACTTTAGAAACCAGACCTCAGACCTGAGCAGGCCATGCAGGGTAGAGAAGGTAGGTGTCTACACAGTCCCTGCCACCACCTCGGTGTCTCCTTTCATGGCAGCTCAGCACCAGCTGAAACCCTTCCCTCAGGAAGCCGCAAGCTTCTCTCACAGACAGTGATGAATGACCTCGAACTGCAGCGTGACCTTGGAGCTAAAGCCAACACTGCTCTCTGAGGCTAGAATGGAGCCGGCACCCTCCTGGCTCAGCTCACTCCAGAAGAGATACCAGCACTAAGAATCCCCTCCCGTGGGGGGCTGGCCTGGTGCTCAGGCTGGAAGGGAAACAACGCAGTGTCGTGGGTGTCCCAGGTGCACAACTAGCTGTGCAGATGAGCTTGGAGGCTTCTGGGTCAAAGTGAGGCAGGAGGAAACTCCAGCAGCAGGAGTGGGACAGGATGCTCACCAAGACACCCAGCCCCCTCCTTCAGGAAGTTCTGTCCTCAACCTGCTGATTTTCTCTCAAGCTGTGAAAGCATCAGTACGACAGTGGTCTGATAAATACACTGTGGGACCACCTGGAGTTACTGACCGTGAGGATAAAATATAAGGGAGGAGAAGAGGAAAAAACACCTCCAACTCTCTCAGCCTCTCCTCGCACCGACGGCCACACAAATACAACTGAGCCTGTTTATCAAATAAAATGAAGTCGCCAGACGAAGAGCCACAATGATTTTCTACAAATATTTCCAGGAATAGAATATTAGTTTTGTTTGTTTAAGTCTTCAGAGGCAAATTTACCACCTAATGTTTTGGATTTTTAAACATGTTTACATTTTAAATGGTAAAAAAAAAAATCATAGCCAAAGCCTGGGAGGTGGGTGCCTGTGGGGACCCTCCCCACACAGCTTCAGGAGCATGAGGCCTGGTGCAGGGTGCCAGCACCCAGAGAGAGGTATGTTCAGCCATGGGACCTGCGGGTCCCTCCTGGGTGACAGATAAGAAGCACAGCTCACAAAGGGTCTGTAGAGACAGAGCAGACCCCTCCTCCCCCTCCCCTCTGTGGCCTCTGCTGTCTGGGCTGCCCCCCAGGAAGGACAGATTGGGACCAGCCCTCAGCTGCTTTTCTTTTGTCATGAGATTAGCAAACAAAGGCACTGCCCAGCCTCACCCCTGAGTCCACTCCATAAGGCCTCTGGGGTTGTTTCTGGAAAGTCGGCAAAGCCATAGAACTCACTGGCTCCTCCTGGCCTGGCAAGTTCCAATCTCCTCTGGAATGAAAACTAGCTACAGAGCACAGAGATGACCAGGAAATCATTCTTCTTCTGGTTTTGAGCTCCCTGAGCTCCCACTGAAATGTCCCAGTGTAAGTAGAGCGCAGTGGGCAGCTGCGAAGCACCCAGCCCAGGCAGGGCACTGAGAGCCACACTTTCTCCCTGGTACTGGGGCGAGCATCTGGGAGGCCAACTGCGCTCCCCTGGGCCCTGCTTTGTCACCAAGTGCAGCCTAGGTGGGGGGAGGTAGGTTTTTCCCCAAATATAAAATCAAGGCCTTCATGAACGAGGCACTCAGTATAGTAACCAAGATGAAAGCTCCCGGGAACGCTGTTGGCCCACACTCCCCACCCTCTGTCTCAGATTTGGAAAGGTGAAAACACAGGCATTTTTGCTGGGGATCTGCAGGAGCAGCAGACTACGCCAGGAACTCAACCGTCCCCACAGAACACCCAGCGTCCCCTCGCACTGGAAAAGCGTTTGTAAAACGAGGGCTTGGAGGCCAAGCGGTGCCATCTGATGTGAAACCGGTCCAGCGTTTGTCTGTAAAATCCCTGATCATAAACATTAAAGCTGCAGGGAGACGAGGTGGGGCCATTTTTCCAAAGGCACATCCGCCGTCTTGCTAACAGCACACAGGCTGCTCACGCTACACAGCCGGGTGGTACTGCTTGATTTTCCACCGCTTGGACCTCACCCGGAAGAAAAAGTACATGACCATCAGAAACAAAGAGGAGGCCACATACAGCATGACACAGAGACTCATGTCCAGGCTGGAGAAGCCGGCCCCGAGCGAGGGTGCAGCCACTTCAGCTTCCTTGCGGACTCCAGACCTGGATGGGTCCTGGAGTTTCACGTTCAGTCTGTGGTGCAAGCTCTCAGGCAGGGGAGGTCTGGGACCCAGCACACTGGGCAGAGGGGTCTTAGCCTCGTGGGCTCCGGGGGCCTTCTCAGGAGCAGTGAGGCCTCTCTCTTCCTCACCTCTAGGTGGGGCCCCTCCCGCACCAGGGTCTCCCTGGTCCACAGTATATGTTTCAACGAGGTTGTCACGGCCATAGTGCCTCTTCAAGAACGTGAGCACGTGGCCTTCATCCCAGCTATCCAGGCCCTTGATTTCCTCATGGCAGGTGGGACAGAGGTCCGGAGCAGGCCACGAAACCTTTGGAAACTTGGGATCCTCACTTGGGTGGCCTAGAAAGGACAGAAGAGGGAAAGCCACAGGGTGAAGGGCTTTCAGCACCTGCAGCCATGCTGGCCACACTCAGCCTCCCACCATCCGGGGCCCCCTGCCCAGTCCCTCTCCTTCACCTTCCCTCTTCCCTGCTCCTGCGGCTCCAGGCATCTTCCTGAAGCACCCCCTGTACTTGTCAGCCTCTAGTGGGTTCCTGGGCCTATAAGCAGAAGAGATGGTGCACTGGGCCCAACCACTGGCCCTCTGGCTGCACCTGCCCTCGCTCCCCTGCAGCTGTGCTCACTGTGCCCGTGCCCTCCACTGGTCTGCCCCTTCCTGAAGGTGCACCTGACCCATCACTGCACAAGGCCTAGATCATTCTGGCTGCCTCCAGGATACTTGCCCACCCTGCCTGGATATTGCTGTCCACACGTTTCCACCGCACTTTAGGCCCACCGGCCCCTCTCAGACTCCAAAATCCCTGAAAGGTCCCCAAAACATGTCTCAGGAGCGACACATGTCCACTACTGGGAAAACCAAGAAATACTGACGTGCAAAGATAAGCAGAGCCCACTCCTGGTTTGAGTCCCAGAGACACTACTGGGGGGAGGGTCCTCTGATTCCTTCTGTACATACAAACATACACACGTGTCCTGACAGGGACAGTAGACTATGCTGTTCCTGTAGGTTCTGTCCTTGGCTCCCTCCCAGCCTCCTATAGGACTCTGACTACACAGGGCTGCACAGGACATCCAGTTCCCGTGGACGGCCATGCACACCATCCTGCAGTTGCCATCCTTGCACATACAGCTGTGTGCACTTGTCTGATGACTCTGGGGTGGACTCAGAGCACCCACACACTGACGCCTGCTGCTCAGCCACCCTTCTAATGGTCATCACTCCTGCTGACTGCTTAAGAAGCTGGAATTCCTACCCTTTCACCCCCTCATTCCTGCCTTGGACCTGTGAACACTGACATCACTGCTTTGGGTGGCACCCGCCAGACCATGGAAGCGGGCAGACGTCTGGTGCTGTTCTCAGGCCAGGGCACAACCAGAAAGATCCCTACACTCACACATGTCCCTTGTGAGCCACCATCCTCCTTTACTTGGTGGTGTATGAATTGTCCACTTGGCTGCCCAACTCAGGATAGCTTTGCCACATGAGTTCAAGCACTGGACAGGTCCCTGTCCTGCAGAAAGGTGGGGCAAGGGGCACTTGGCAGCTCTCAAAATATGCTCACACCTGACCTGCGCATGTTGGGCAGCTGTCAGCGTATTTCTTTTTTTTTTTTGAGACAGAGCCTCAAGCTGTCCCCCTGGGCAGAGTGCCATGGCATTACAGCTCACAGCAACCTCCAACTCCTGGGCTCAAGCGAGTCTCCTGCCTCCGCCTCCCAAGTAGCTGGGACCACAGGCGCCCACCACAACGCCCGGCTATTTTTTGGTTGCAGCCATCATTGTTGTTTGGCGGGTCCGGGCTGGGGATTCGAACCCGCCACCTTAGGTGTACGTGGCTGGCGCCTTAGCCGGTTGAGCTATAGGCGCTGAGCCTGTCAGCGTATTTCTAGAAGGAAGTAAAGGTAAATACAACCACTTTTGTTAGGGGACTTTGGAATGCTGAAATCGACAGAGATACTCTGCTCCGGCTCTTTTGCTGACCACATGCTAATCCTGCTAACATGTGCCTCGTGTTGTCCATGGAGCCACCACACAGAGGGGCAGAACAGAGACCAAGCGTTGTTGGTCTAAAGCTGCCTGAGGGTTCGCACGAGACCCTGAAGTAAGGAGCCAGTGCCGGACAGCAGATCCCACTCACATCTCTGAGGGGCCTCTGGAGAGTGGGTCTCAATCCACAGCTGGGGTCAGGTGGGGTGCACAAAATTCTCAAAGAGTGACCCTGGGCTGTAGAGCCCCTCTGGGCTGCAGCCCAGCACCGTGAGAACGTGTGCAGGCTCGGGCCACAGCCGACAGCAGGGGCTCCTGGACCCGGCAGGCCTGGCTGCAGTCTGGGTCTGGTGCATCAGAGCCACCTGCTCCAGGGATAACTGTGTGCACCACTGAAGAGGAGGGAGGGGGAGAGGGGTCCAAGAGGCACTTGGGGTGGAGAAATCCCTTATTAGGGCCACAGCAGAAGCACCTTACAACTGCAGCTGACAGTGATGAGAGGAATCCTGGCAAACACAGAGGTGCCCATGGCCATGTGACCTGAGTTACAGCAGTGGGCACTGAGTGCAAAGAAAAACCAATTTTCTTTAGTGCTTTAGTGTAATATGTTTTTATAATACAGTGGATTAAATAAACTGATAGTTTAGCGGTGTTTTCTATTCATCTCTATTAAGATTTATTTCTCAGTGGAATTATTTTTAAGCCTAATTTTAATCTGCCATTGATTTAGGAATAGTTTGAAGTACTTAACTCTAGAATCTAAATACATGTGGCCTATTTAGTTTTTTTATTATTATTTTTTTTTAAGACAGAATCTATGTTGCCCTGGGTAGAGTGCTACTGCGTCACAGCTCACAGCAACCTCAACTCTTGGGCTTAAGCGATTCTCTTGCCTCAGCCTTCCAAGTAACTGGGACTATAGGCGCCTGCCACAACACCCGGCTATTTTTTGTTGCTTGCAGTTGTCGTCGTTTAGCAGGCCTGGGTCAGGTTTGAACCCGCCAACTTTGGTGTATGTGGCTGGCACCATAACCACTGGGATATGAGCGCCAAGTCTTTTTAGTTTTCTTTAAATAAAACCATCTTCGGAAGTTCGATTTACAATCTGAGAATAGATTTTTTTGATTTTTTTTTTTTTGACTGAGAATAGATTTTAAGAACACTAAAATTACTTACCCAAAATTAATTATATTCCAAGTTTTCCAGTGTCAAAGTTACTTGGGAGTCTAGTGGCCACCAAAGGGCACAAGGCAGGAGGAAAAGAGCCACATCAAGTTCTCTGAGGCCCCAAAGAGCTGGGACTAGAAGGCCAGGAAGGGTGGCTGCTCCCAGCAGTGACACCCTCCAGAGCCCTCACCCGAGCCGGGCAGCAGAGCTCAGGGGGCAGCAGTGCTGATGCCATGCTGTCCTCACTGCCCACAGGACAGTGCCCAGGGTGTGCTCACCTGGGTCTTGTACCATTCTGACTCCCACGGCCAGGCCCATGACCACTCTGCCTCACAGCATAAGGACACACAGCGTCCCCCTCCTACCTGCCAGGCGGCTGTTAACTACATTATGCTTCTTCCAAAGCCAGAGAACTGCCTGGTCTGGGGTTTTCACCGAGTCCATGGACTCCTTGGCCATCTCCTCAAAGTGCTCCCCACACTCTTTGCAGCCAAAGAAGGTGCGGACATATCTCCTCACTGTCTGCAGCACAGCCTGGGGATCGTCCTCAAAACCTGTGAAGAGAGGAGACATGCTGGTGCCACAGACGGAGTCACTGTCCACCTGGCTTGTCCGCCTGTCTGAGAGCAGGCCTGGGCTGGCGTCTGCAGATGGGAGACGGGCTGCCGTATGTCTCTTCAGAGGCCTGACAGGAGGATGGACACACAGGTGGCAGACACAGTACCTGCTTGGATAGCTGCTGGAGCCATGGAGGAATGGCTGCAAGGCCCGGGGGACCTCCTGCTTCTCAACCAGGCTTCCCCCTGCCCTACCCTTAGCCTTATGACCCGGAGAGGGACTGAACTTAAAACTAAAGGGGATGTGCTAGCTATGCACAGCTCCCAGAGCCAACGACATTGCTCAGCCCAAGTCTACAGCTGTCGCGACTGAAACCCTGCAGAGCATGAGCCCACATGGGGATGTGGCCCAGGTGGTGACTCCAGGCTTGCTGCCAGGCTAGTGCTGGGAGGGCCCTCCATGAGCAGGCGGCCAGCTGCCAGGGCTGCTTCTAGGGAAGAACAGGGCACAAGTGGGGGCTGCTCTCTCTCTGCAAAGGCCAAACCACCCCAGATAGAGGTGCTTTAAAAGAAAACACTCCTACACAACTAGCCACACAGAGTTCATGCCACTGCATACACAAACAGGGTGTAAATGAGTAATGCACCACATTTCCAGAAAATACCCCCCACCCAGGTGGGGGACAGTGGGCACCCCAGAAGGAGCAGCCCAAGGGAGCCACAGGAGCAGCATGGTAGGGTGCAGAGCCCCCATCCAGACAAGTGACACAGGAGCATACGAGTAAGAGACCCATGAGTTAAGACAGACTGTCGTCATCACAAGAAGTGTAGCAAGATAATTACAAAACCCAGCTGCCCCAGATAACACAGACACAGTCCTGAGAACGAATCCACCTTGACCACAGCATGCCCCTGTGGGATCTCTGTTCACCTGCTAGTATAAGTCTGGTGCTTGTCATGGTTTTGTCCGCCAGGGAGAGCTGTCTGCAGGCCTTGGTCCAAGTTTCTGGTCTCTCAGTAACTGTGATGGTCATTTATTTCACCCAGAGACAGCAAAAATGGAGCATACCACCAACTCCTCCTTGGCCCAGCATATCTACCAGCAGTGTCTACAGTGAGGTCACAGGCACTGGCCTTGTGGCCCAGCCTGAGTACTCTCCTTTCCCTGATGGGCCCTCCAGACATCTGCCTTGAGTTGCTGGGTAATCCCCTCCTCTTCCCCACCGAGCCACTGCACGCTCAGGGCCACCCTAATCTTTAAAGTAGACAAGGCCCATAAACCTCTACCTGCAGGGGGATTAGAGGCCTCAGCAAGCGTGTTAGTAGATGGGGTTTAAATGCACAATAAGGAGAAGAAAAACCTTCCAAGACTTAATCCTGCAGTCTCGTCTGACCCAATTCCTTTGTTGGGAGATACACTCCTCGGAGATCACTTCCATTTACACTGATAAGATGAAGGGGAGGTGTCTCCCAGCTGTGTGCTGTCACTGTCAGGCCTCCACACGTCACCACAACAGCGTCAGCCTGCGCTCTGCACTGCATCCTGGCGACTCAGCTCTCCTCTCATCACTGCACTGCCACAGCTCGGCTCCCGCTGCACAAGTGCACATGCTGTCAGGAGCTTCCCCACATGGACATCAGGCCCGGAGCACACGGCTCACCTCACAGAGGTGGCCATGGAGGGCCTGTTGCACTAGCCAGGCAGGGCCAGTGCTCTCACTTGCTCCTGGACCCACCAGCTGCCCCCAAGTGACAGGGCCCCAGGAGTGAGCCCAGAGCGCCACCTCTCAAGACTCCTAAGCACACAAGATGGTGGTTGTTTTAAGTTCTAGTAGCATCTGGGGTTGGCTTGTTATGCACCAAAAAATAACTAAAAGAATTTTACAGTCTTACTGGATGGAGAGAACATCGGCCTATCGTGTTCAAAGACTCTACTTTTGACTTAACATAAAGGTTAATGAACCTGAACGACTGCTCCAGCCGGGAGGCACACATTCAACCAAGTCCAGAGCGGATAAAACCTAACACGTATTTTAGTACTCTGTGAGGGACAGAAAATGTAACTGTGATTTCAACTGTTTCCTAATAAATTAAACCTGACTTCAGAGTTTGGCAGTGTTCACCCTCTTGTGGCAGCAGCCTACTCTGGCCCTGCCCAGTCTCCACCACATCCTGAGGGTCATCCCTGGGGTGGGGGTGGGGGGGCATGGGCTCAGCAACTGACTTTGGGGAAGCAGAACTGGAATCCGTCCCTGGTGTGCTCTGAAGCTGCCCCACGCAGAAACCCTGGGAGTGGCCCCTGCAAATGGCCAGCAAGGATTTCTCCAAGTATGTTTGGTGTACTCTTATTTTTCTTTCTTTTTTTTTTTGAGGCAGAGTCTCATTATGTTGCCCTCTTGGTGTCACAGCTCATAGCAACCTCCAACTCTCGGGCTTAAGTGATTCTCTTGCCTCAGCCTCCCAAGTAGCTGGGACTGTAGGCACCCCCCCGCCCCATAATACCTGGCTATTTTTTGGTTGCAGTTGTCATTGTTGTTTAGCTGGCCCAGGATGAGTTTGAACCTGCGGGCCTGGATGTATGTGACCGGCACCCTACCCACTGAGCTATGGGCACTGCCTCTTTTTTTTTTATTGTTGAGACAGAGCCCCACTATATACCCTGAGCAGAATGCAGTGGCATCATAGCTCACTGCAACCTCAGACTTGGGCTGTGGGTATCTGGCCACCTTAGCCTCTGGAAGTCAGTGGGATTATAGGTGCTTGTGTAGTGCCCAGATGGGTTTTTCATTTTTTTATGAGTTGGGGTCTCACTGTTGCTCATACAAGTCTTGAATTCCTGAGCTCAAATAATTCTTCTGCCTCACTCTCCCACAGTACTGGGATTACAGGCATGATCCACCGTGCCTGGCTACTCTTCTTTTTCTTATTTTTCAAAGCAAAAAAAGGAGACGCTGCAGGGCAGAGTGACTCCTTCCTGTCCGCACTCTCTGCTCTCCCTCTACCTGCAGGTCAGCCACGCGCATCCTGTCAGCGAGCAAAGTGGGCTCTTCCTCCGTGGCCTGCAGCCACGCTATACTGTGCAATCAGTAGTGAGTGGCGTGCACACACGTGGCACGTGGGTGGGGCCTCAGGGCACCATCGTGACACCCTGCCTCATACACAATAGGCCTTCTCTCCTCGGGTGCCCCTGACAGTACCAGGCACACACCAGCTGGGGCACCATGTGAACCAGACTCTGCCCCCTCGCTGGGTAGGCCACTCACCTGTGCCGACCAGCGCTGTGGGACGGGTTGAGGCTTGAACAGTTAAAGTGTGGAACAATTTCCAGAGTGAGCATGGGTAGCCCCTCCACTCAGGTCGGCTTCCTTGACATCCAACCCAAGTTATGTGATCACTAAGAAATATTCCAGACATCTGAAAAACACGCATACAAAGTTGTTAAAATGAAAAATAGTTGATGGATGCCCTCTTTCTTGATTGGAGCAGTAGTGACACAGTGGTGGGGATACACGTATCAAACCTCCATCATGTGGCTTGGTGCCTGTAGCTCAGTGGTTAGAGTGCTGGCCACATGCACCAGGACTGGTGGGTTTAAACCAAGCCTGAGCCTGCTAAACAACAATGACAACAACAACAACAATAGTCGGGCATTGTGGCAGACACCTGTACTCCCAGCTACTTGGGAGGCTGAGGCAGGAGAATCACGTAAGCCCAAAGTTGGAAATTACTATGAGCTATGACACCACAGTACTCCACCAAAGGCAACATAGTAAGACTCTGTCTCAAAAAGAAACCAAAAACAAAACTTCATCACCTATACACACAAGATCTGTGTACATCACTGCATGTAAATTTAAATTCAATACAATATAAACATGAAGGAAAAGTTTTTTCAGGTTTTTTTTGAGACAAGAGTCGCACTATGGCACCCTCAGTAGAGTGCCCTGGTGTCATAGCTCACAACATCCTCAAACTCTCAGGCTTAAGCAATTCTCTTGCCTCAGCCTTCCAAGTAGCTGGAACTATGGGCACCTACCATAATTCCCAGCTATTTTTTTATTGTAGTTGTTTAACAGGCCTAAGCAGGGTTCGATCCCACCACTTTTGGTGCCATAACCACTGTGCTACAGGCACTGAGCCGAGGGGCAAAGTTCTTGAAACCTGGAAATGTGGCCTGTTTTATCTCTTTGTGTAAGGGAAGAGTTTATCTGGTCTTGAAAAATCAGAAATAGTAAGCACAGACATCCACTTTAAAATTAGAATTAGTTACAATGAAAATGTTATAGAAAAGGTGGCTGAGGATGAAGAGCCCGACTCAGCCCGACTTCCGCTGAGTAGCAGGACGGCAGCGGCAGTGCTGTCACTGTGTGCAGCGCAGGCACCTCCACCGAGCAGATGGCCGTGGCCACTGTGAGTGCTGACCAGTCTCAAGCCCAGTACCTGCTCTTACAGGGAGTGTCCAGTTTTACAGGCATGTGCTAGGCGACACTGCCATGACCTTGAGCTGAGCAAAGGCAGAAGAGAGATCAGGCAGGCAGTTGAGGGCTGTGTGTGCCTGGGCTGCAAGGGGCCAACACCAGAGCCACAGAAGCACACATAGCCACCCAGGCTGGGGCCAGGGCTCTGGCAAACCTCTCATGTCGGGTGAGGGAGGTGGCCTGGGGGAGCATGGGGTCTACTGCTGTTGTTTACCTCCTGGGGCTGCAGAGAAGCTGCTGACCAGCACTGTGGGGTGGTGGGAGCAGACACTGAGGCCGTGAAGGAGAACGGCACCCACTGGCACCTGCCTCCAGCGGCAGCCCCAGAACAGCTACCAAACTCCCTGAGCACATCGTTTTCAGTAGTTTTTAGGTGTTAAAACTTGGGTTTACTAAAATTAGAAAACAAAACTTGTGTTGCAATGTTTTGGAAAATTACGTTGGTAGGACCACCTGTCCCTCCCACTTTTGGGGAACTATCCTGCTGCACAGGACATGTCCTCACAGTTCCACTGTCCCTGGATCCTGCCTCTTCTCTCTGAGGCAGGGTCTCGCTCTATGGCCCAGGCTGGAGCGCCATGGTGCGATCACAACTTGCGGTAGACTAGCCTTCCAAGATCAAATGAAACCCCTGCTGCCTCAGCCTCCTGAGTGGCTGGGACCACAGTGCCTGGCCTGGTGAAGTCCCTAAACTGAATTCTCAGCATGACACTGCCACCTCAGGCAGCCAAGGGGTGGACACAAAGCTTCCCTAAAAACAGTAGTGGAAAGTGCTGAAAGGGCTGAAGCGAGAGGGGGAAAGGAGGGGCCCTGCCTGCATTGGGCTTTCCTTGCTGGGTGCCTGGCAGGTAGGAGAAGCGAGTCAGGTGAGGGCGAGCCACACGTGGGGCTCCCACCTTCTGGGAGGGGCCTGAGCTCACCCGCATTTTATTGTTGACCAGGTCGAGGACGGCATCATACGGGATCCTGTCCAGGGGGAGGCTGGCCAGCCACTCCTGCAGCGTCTCCAGCAGCTTCCTGACTGGCGGGCGGCCTGGGAACAACTGGACAAGGAAGGACCCATCCTGAGGGATACCTGGGAGAGGTACAGTCCTAGCCTGACCCCCTCAAGTGTTCGGATCTATAGAACCGGACCTCAGTCCTGCCCCTACCACGCCCCTGCCAGCCCCAGCTCTGCAGTCAGCAATTAAGTAGTGGGTAACTAGGGTTTAACTAGCAGTTAACCGAGAACGGGCCACTCTAAACTCTAAGGAGCAGGGTTCCTGGAGGAGGCCTGTGGTGCTGCAGGGCAGCAGTGGGCAGCACCTCTCCGGGCCTGCGCCCACCACCTCACTCCCACCAGACAGCCAGTTCACAGTGATAGGCCTCCAGTCCTCATGTGTGACTCGGTGTCAAGCTGTCCTCTCTCGTTCCACCTGCCTCGTCCTCACTGGCTGTGTAACCAGGTGTGGAAGGCGGGTGGCGAGTGTCTGCGGGTGGCGAGTGTCTGCAGCTGCCTGAAACACCGGTGTTAGCTCACAGCAGCTGGCAGAGGCACCCAGCTAACATGAGCCGGGGTTCGGACCTCCTTTTTTTTTTTTTTTTGGTAGAGACAGAGTCTCACTTTATTGCCCTTGGTAGAGTGCCGTGGTGTCACATAGCTCACAGCAACCTCCAACTCCTGGGCTTAGGCGATTCTCTTGCCTCAGTCTCCCGAGTAGCTGGGACCACAGGTGCCTGCCACAATGCTCAGCTGTTTTTTTGTTGTTGCAGTTTGACTGGGGCTGGGTTTGAACCCGCCACCCTCAGTATACGGGGCTGGCGCCCTACCCACTGAGCCACAGGTGCCGCCCTCTGACCTCCTTTAACAAGGAACTCTAATTAAATATTATCAAGTGTGTAAAATATGGGCTGCCAGTCCGATTCAGGAACTGAGCTGAATTCTTACTAATAAGGACACTAAACAGCTAAACCCAACACATCGCACTCTCAACTCAGGGTCCCAGTGTCTACTACAGAGCACCACTGCCAACTTACCAGTGGTGTTTGCTTTCAGACACTTACGTGAACTTCAGAAAACTCATTGAGGCTTGGTGCCCATAGCTCAGCGGGTAGGGCACCAGCCATATACACCAGGGCTGGAGAGTTTGAACCCAGCCCAGGCCTGCTAAACGACGATAACTGCTACAAAAAAAACAGCTGGGCATTGTGGTGGGCTTCTGTAATCCCAGCTACTTGGGAGGCTGAGGCAAGAGAATTGCTTAAGCCCAAGAGCTTAAGGTTGCTGTGAGCTGTGATGCCACGGCACTCTACCAAGGGCAACATAGTGAGACTGTCTAAAAAAAAAAAACAACAACTCACTGAGAATAACTTATCATTGGTCTTGATTTAGGAGCCACCTACACTACATGCGGGAAAGCCAGGACGGGAGTGAGAGGCACACAGAGCATCGAGGTGAGGGACCACCTGATCTGCTAGCAGCTGTCAGCTGGCTGGCGGCCACCACTAAGAGCCACGCTGTCCAGTGTTAATGTGACATACAGAATTAGCAGGACACTTTCTTTTTTTTTTTTTGAGACAGAGTCTCAAGCTGTCCCCCTGGGGAGAGTGCCGTGGCATTACAGCTCACAGCAACCTCTAACTCCTGGGCTCAAGCGAGTCTCTTGCCTCCGCCTCCCAAGTAGCTGGGACCACAGGAGCCCGCCACAACGCCCGGCTATTTTTTGGTTGCAGCCGTCGTCGTTGTTTGGCAGGTCCGGGCTGGGGATTCGAACCCGCCACCTTAGGTGTATGTGGCTGGCGCCTTAGCTGAATGAGCTATAGGCGCGGAGCCAGCAGGACACTTTCTTAAAGGAAACAGGGCCAACTAGAAATTTCTGTATTCTGAGTGACACAGTATGTAAAAAATCATCTAAAAACATTCGTGTATGCATCTGAAACATCATCACTCCTGTAAACATAAATTCTATTTCCTTTATTTTCTAAAAATCCTATAGTGTAAGTAAATTCTGACTATCCAAAGTACTGAATATAAACTATTCTTTAAGGGACCTCACTTCTGGCAAGAGGAATCATTTAAAATTCAGCCTCCTATCTGTTAGGCAGTAACCAGTAACTTGGGTACTGGCAATGTACCTGCAACCACTGGACGAGGTGCCTCCTCCTGTGCCAGCAGCAGGAGTGGGGCGGGGGGAGGGGGTGCCTGGGCTATCCCAGAGGTCAGGAGCACAAGGCCACAGCTCGGCCCTGGCAAGGCTCCCTTACCACCTCCCAGTTAACCCTGGGCACAGCACGGCCTGAGCCCTCTCCAATGACCCAAACAGTGGCTTCAGACACCACATCTGTGTGATCACAGTCCCCAGGGTGAAAGGTCCTAAGATCTCTCCCCAACCCTGGGTAGGGTCTCTCTCCTGTCCTGCCCTTGGGGTAAGCTGGCCAGTTCCTCACCAGGAGCCAAGCATCTCCAGGTGCCTGCCTGATGCAGAGCCAAATGCCTGGCCCAGCCCAGGTTCATACCTTGGCAATGACAGTGACAAAGTCCTTGAGTGTCTTTAGCTCTGCTCCCGCCAGAGAGCTGTGGGCTGCCAGCTCCACCCTCAGCAGGTAGTGCAGGCCCGACTCCAGGTCCGCCATATACAGCTTCGACCTGAGATGAGACAGTAGAGTCAGGGGTGCACCAACCCTCCCCACATGCCCCCACCCCACAGGGATTCCCATGGCCACATGGAGGGTCGGCATCAGCCTGGCCTCACAAACACAGACTTCTGCATCTGCACCCAGTCTCCCCAGGGAGTTCAGTTCTAGAGGAATACTTGCTTGTCAAATTCCCTCCAAACTATGGTTTCTGAATTTTCTTCTTTGTTTGGCATTTCAGGCAAGAAAAGTGACTTTTTCCTCACATCTGGCAATGACCTCAAATAAGAGGAAAAGAAGGAGCGGAGAGGCTTCACACTGCGAAAAGAGAGGGCAAGGGTCAGAAGAGCTGCCAAAGGCACACGGACAGGGTGAGCCCCTCTGTGTTTAGGGGGCCCGACCCATCCTCCAGCCGTGAACAGAGAACAGACGCCGAGCAGGCCAGGCAGGCCAGGCAGGCTGAGCCTCCACCTGCGAGGGGGAGATGCTCCAGGCCAAATCCGTAGATAATCACTGGGTGCCTGCTACAGTAAGTACTATGATTCATTATGTCTGGGGGGACCTTAAGATGTCTCGCAAAGCTGGTTTGAGCGTCTGCCAAGACCAGCTTTATCCTGACTGTGGCTTCCGACATGCCTAAGAGCCTCGAGAACATGCCCACAATCTGCCAGCTGAGTGGGCATCTGTAAGTGCAGCCAGCGGGCGCCCAGCCCCTCCCTGACACAGCTCACTGAGCACCCCACCTACCAGGGCTGCGTGGATGGGACAGGACAGCCTTCGAGTGTCATCAGCGCCCAGCCCCTCCCTGACACAGCTCGCTGAGCACCCCGCCTGCCTGCCTGCTGGCCCTGTGTGGATGGGGCAGCGCAGCCTGCTGAGTGCCATCAGCGCCATTACTGAGCTCATCCTCTGTAGCTCAGAGATTGCTGTTATTTCTAAGGACACAATGTACCAGCATTATTTGTAAAAATATTAAAATATGTACAAAAATGTTATTTTATGTTAACAAGCTGTACACATGATACTTCAGTGACAAACATCTGGCAACCCTCAAGGCAGTGCTGGTGGGCAGCGGGCTCCCAGCCTGGTGTGGCTGCATTGCAGTGGGGCCTCGACCAGATGCTCTGACCACCTGGTGAGCTCAAGGCCTCTTCAGTTACCCTGAGTTCCAGTGTTTCCTTTTGTAGAAGACTAGAAATGCACCTGAGCAGCCACATTGTGTTCAGGGCCTCCGGGGAGGCACCTCACTGCTGTAGTCAACCTTGGAAGATGCTGAACTTGAGGTCCTAAGAGGCAGGAAACATACCCTGTCCTTCCACTGAGGCGTCCCCCCCTTGAAGTTGCTGGACATGGTGACTCACCAAGAGCTGCTGAGTAAACGCCTACTCAGCACAAGCTAGAGTTGGGGCCGGGGCCTCGGGCGGGAGGGCAGGTGAGGAGGCTGCCACAGTTCCCCTCTGGCCTCACGATGTTATTTAACTTTCCATTTTGCTTTTCCCCACCTTATTCAGTTCCTTGCATCTTAGCTGGACTTGCCTCAGGAGCACAGGTGCATGCCTTCCTGCTGTCCCCAGCCTTCCTGCAGGTCAGGGTAAACGAGCCCACCAGCTACCAGCAGCACTGACCAACCCTGAGCCCCACACCTGGCACAGAGGAGGGTCAAGGGACACCTGCTAGATCTGGGATTAGACCAGAAACCAACAAAACCCAACACAGATGACAAATACCCAGGGTCCAAGAGCTGGGCTGCCAATGGGCCCCGGCAGGGAGGTGGCAGACTGGGCTCTCTGCCCACTGACCCCACGCTGTGCCAGTCCCTGGGTCCCACCGATGCTGCCAGCACTCACACATGGATTACTCCGTGGGACCCATTGGGGTGAATCAAGTAACATGCTGGGACTGAAGAGACACCGAGTTTCTCCAGAAGCGCTCTCTCCCCGTCCAGGGCGCGGGTCACCATGATGTTCTCATATGGAGTCAAGTCTAAGATCACCTGGGCAGGAGAAGACAAGGAGAAGACAGCAGCTTCACCAAAGATGGCAGTGTTCTCAGAAAACACCGCATGCAGACCAATGACCTTCCTTGCAGACCTTCACAAAGGGATATGACATTCTCAGGAGGGGCTGGGGTACTGGGCCTCAGGAGGCCTAGGCAGGAGGGTCACTCAAGCCCAGGAGTCGGAGGCTACTGTGAGCTGTGATGACACTACTACACCCTAGCCTGCACCACAGAGCCAGACCTTGTCTCTTAAAAAACAGAACAAAACAAAAATCACCAAGAGAAAAGGGTATTACCAGGGGGCCACTGTCAGCCCACACTAGGCAGCAAGAAACCATCACAGACCAGGCCTCCCTCTGCCTGGAAACCAGGTGAGCATCAACAGGTATTTCATCTTCAGTGCTCACAGAAACTAGAACACCACCATTTGGCACAAGCCTCTAGCTACCCTTTCTGTAAGCAGGACCATCATTTGCATCTTAATTTTTATTGCACTTTAAGGCAAATGAACAAGCCCCAAGCCCTGGGGCAGAAACTACGATTTCATTTGCAACTGTGCAGCAAGTCAAAGAAGACATTTATCAATTAACCTTTTACTTTTCTGAACCAGCATCCACCACAAAATTTGCACCAGTCAAGCAAGTGGCTTCCCCACCTAGTGGCCATGCCCAAAGGTCCTGGATCTTCTTGGGGCAGCTGGTGGTGAGGTCAGAAGCACACCCAGAACTCTGAAGGATCTGAGTTTTAAACACAGGGATAGACCAAACTTCAGAACCCCTACCAAGGTCCTCCAAAGTAAACATACTCAACCTGACATTCTTGTCTATAAAACAGCTGGGTTAAATGAACAGCACACATGGTGGTTCTGATAACTAAACACTAAACACATGAGCACAGCACATGCAGCCACAGCGGCTGGCCCCAAGCAGGCTGTAGCACCTAGCACACAAGCAGTACCTCTCGTCCAAGGTAGGAGCTGTTGCTTTCAAACAAAATAGCCACATAATGGCCACCACGGTTGTCGATGAGAGAAAGAATGTCACTGGGCCTTTTAAGAGAAAGAAAGAGGCTTTTAGTGCTCTCAGCCATAGTGAGCCGGCCCCCATGTCAGTGGCCACATCACTGAGTACAAACCTACATGCAGTTCACAAAATGAAACCCAAGTGCCATATTTGCTACGGGGCTACTCACTGAATCGGGTCCAAGGGCGGGCAAGCTGCAGGCCGGTTTCCCTCCGTGTGGTTCTGCAGGAAGTCGATCATCGTGTGCCTGACTGTTGCCAGCTCTCTGTCGGGTCCTGGGGAATCATGCCATGGTCACGGCCTCGCCTGCCTGTGTCTGCCGCCGGAGCAGCAGCCAGGGCCCAGCAGCCCAGCCCCACCCAGGACCCATAGACCGCAGGCAGGTGGCAGCAGCACGGCCCTCAGGAATCCCAGATGTAATGGTGGAACAGGCAGTGGTGGGGCTACACAGTGGAGACTGGGGAGGTGCAGGAGAGTGGGAATGACCAGACTGTGGGGACCACAGGGCCAGGACAACCTTGCAAACAAGTGGAGAGGAGGCTACACTCTGGGATTCTGTCTACACTTGGAAACGCAGGCAAAACCACCCCTCCCTGTCGCATTTTCCTATGAGGTCTGGTCACACTCTGGGCCTTGGTGGGCCCTTTGTAAAAATCTTCTGGCTATGCATGTATGATGTGTGCAATTCACCAAATGTTTTTTAATTAAAAAATAAACTTAAGGCTGGGCATGACTCTGTCTCTACTAAAAATAGAAGATCTAGCTGGGCATTGTGGTAAGCACCTGTAGTCCCAGCTACTTGGGAAGCTGAGGCAAGAGGATTACTTGAGTCTGAGAGTTTGACGTTGCTGTGAGCTGTGATGATGCCATGGCACTCTAGCCTGGGAGATAGAAGGAAACTGTCCAAAAAAAAGTACTTAAAAAAAATTTTTCAGGTGGTGCCCATAGCTCAGTCACATACACCCAGGCTTGCGGGTTCGAACCTGGCCCAGGCCAGCTAAACAATAATGACAACTGCAACAACAACAAAAAAATAGCAGGGAGTTGTGGAAGGCGCCTGTAGTCCCAGCTACTTAGGAGGCTAAGGCAAGAGAATCGCTTAAGCCCAAGAGTTTGAGGTTTCTGTGAGCTGTGATGCTACAGCACTCTATCCAGGGCAACAGCTTGAGACTCTGTCTCAAAAAAAAAGAAAATTCACTATCACATTTGCTAACCAAAGCAAAACAGAACACAAAAAATTCTCCCTGAAGCTATTAATGTTTGAACTTTTTTTTTTTTTTTTGGAGACAGAGTCTCAT